TTGTGTTGTGTTAGCTTGGAGTGGTAATTTCAAGCTCCTTACATGTGAAACCAAAAAAATCATTCTTTTTTATTGTTTAGTAACATTGCATTGTACAGATATACTCTAATTTGTTTATCCATTCACCTGTAACATTTGGCTTGTTTCCAGGTTTTTTCTCTTATCGGTAAACTTCTGTAAACATTCATATACAACGTTTAAATGAGCATATACTTTCATCCGTCTTTTATAAATACCTGGGAGCAGAAGACTGGATTATATTGTAGATGTACTTTTACTGTTTTAAGCATCTACCAATCCTCTTGCTACTGTAACAACTTACCACAAACCAAGTGACTTAGGACAACATAGATTTATGTTGTTGCATATCTAGAAGTCAAAGTCTAAAATCAAGGTGTCGAGGGGCCGTGTTCCATCTGGAAGCCACAGGGGAGAATCCACTGCTTTCCTTTTATAGTTTCTAAGCTTCCTGCGTGCTGGCTGCTGCCCTCTTGCTCAGGGCACTCAGACCCCTTGCTTCTGTGATCTTATCTCTTACCATTGACTCTGATCTTCCTGCCTTCTTCCTACAAGGATCCTTATGATTACAATGATCCCACTTAAATAATCCAAAATACTCTCTTGAAATCTCTACAGTTGTTCAATTAATAACATCTGAAAAGTCCCTTTTACATATTTACAGATTCCACAGGTACCAGGGATTAGAATGTGAATGTCTTTGAGGTGTCATTATTTCAGTCTACCACATTATCTTCCAAGGAGATTATATAATTTTACATTCCCATTAATAGTGTAGAATTGTTCTAGTTCCTCCACATTCTCAGTAAAACTTGGTAATAGTCACTTTATTTATTTATTTATTTATTTATTTATTTATTTATTTATTGAGAGAGTGTGTGAGCAAGCAGGGGAGGGGCAGTGGGAGAAAAAGAGAAAAAAGAGAGAGAGAATCTTAAGCAGCATTGAGATTCCACCTTAAGACACGAGATCATAACCTGAGCTGAAATCAAGAGTTGGACACTTAACCGAATAAGCCACCTACGTGCCCCAATAGTTGGTCATTTTAATTTGCATTTCTCAGATAACGAACAACGTTGGATACCTTTTCATGTACATTTTTGCTTTCTATAGGTAAAAATGTTGGTTCAAATACTTTCCCCATTTTTTGTTGGACTTTATGCTTTTTGATTTTTGGATTTTGAGCATTCTTTGTATATTCTAGATATGTCTATAACCAAATGTAATATGTTATTATATATTGTTGGCTTGTCTTTTTTTAAATATATTTAAACATATTTTAATGATTTAAAATCATTATTAAGTAATGTATTTAACAGTGTTCAAGCTCATCAAGTTGTATAAATTAAACATGAATAGATTTTTGTATCTCAATCATATCTCAATAAAGTGGTTTAGAAATAAAAATAACAACAAAATATGAAAATATTAGGGTAATATTTGATAAAAAGTAAGCAAGATCTGTACACTGAAATCTCTAAAACATTACTGAGATGAACTCATTGATGTAGAGATATATAGGGTTTTTAGGTCAGAAGAGTCAATGTTGCTGTGATGGCCATTTTCCCCAAATTTATGTAAAGATTCAATGCAATCCCAGTCAAATCCTCACAGGCTTTTATATAGAAATTTCAAGGTAATTATAAAATTTAAATATAAAATGCAAATGTAGACAAATATAGACACACATATGTAGACAAACTGATTTTTGACAAAAGCACAGAGGCAATACAGAGGAGAAAGAATGGACTTTTCAACAAATGGAGCTTGGGAAAGTAGATATTCATATGCAAAACAAAGAACTTCAGTTCATATCTCATACTATATACAAAACTTGATTCAAGTTGGATCATAGACCTACGTGTTAGAACTAAGACAATAAACCTTTGAAAAGAAGACATGAGATGAATCTTCTTGATCTTAAGTTAGGCATAGATTTTAAGTTTATTCATTTATTTGAGAGAAAGAGAGAAAGAGAATGAAAGAAAGCACAAGCAGGGGAGGGACAGATGAAATATTGAACTAAGTTGAGATCAAGAGTCAGTTGCTTAGCTGACTGAGCCCCCAGGTGTCCCCTAAGTTTTTAGATATGGGACCAAAAGCCCAATCGAATAAAAGAAAAAAATCATAAATCAAAATAATCAAAATGTAAAACTTTTGGGAGCACCTAGGTGGTTAAGCATCAGACATCAGCTCAGGTCATGATTTTGTGGCCTGTGAGTTTGAGCCCCACATCAGGCTCTGTGCTGACAGCTCAGAGCCTGGAGCCTGCTTGGGATTCTGTGTGTCCCTCTCTGCCCCTCCCCTGCTTGCTCTCTGACTCTTTCTCTCAAAAATAAATTAAAAAAATCATTAAATAAGTTTAAAACTTTTGCTTTTAAAAATTTTATTTAATCTTGTCATTATTTTAAATGGTTTATCAAATATTTAATTCATGTAAAATATATTTTTAACATATAGGAAACCAGAAAAATGATGAAAAAAAAATTCCATGTGTATGTAGAGCTCCAGTTATTTACTAGCAATTTTCACAGTTATCATCTCCACCTACTTATTCCCCAAAATATTGATGCTTAAACTTTTAAAATTATAGATAGTTATAATTGCATTGAAAATGATTGCCAATATATCTTATAGTTGCTGGAATATATTTTTAAAATGAAAAAAAAGAGATGAAATGAGAATGTTGCTTCAATAAGTGTTAAAGCTTTCACAGAAAGTAGATACAGTAAATTATACACACTGTCCTCTAATTTTTAGGAACAGTGAAAGTTTCTGGAAATATTATCTATCATGCCCTGTTACATAAAAAGACAAACATTGGTTTGGTAAATGTTCCTATTACTTAGAATCCAATCAATTTAAGTTTCTGTAATGTCAGTGCTTTGTAAGGTAAAATCATTTTATGTATCAGATAATTTCTATACTCCAAAAGTAGCAATACATGATTTTTTAATACAGTTTACATCTGTCATTTTGAATGCTTCACATGCTGTAGAGAACTCCACTGTCATTTAATACACTCAAGGGAATACTGCTTCACCATTAATCTTATTTGTAAAACAAGTTTGCATTAACTTTTAAATCTTCTTAATAAAAGAAAACCGAAAAGAATAAGCAGATTGCTAACAGATTATTGTGGATGAAAGCATAAATGTCAGTGTCAATGCTGGAGGACTTAGAATGCTTGCCATATTAGAGAAAAGGAACTCAATCCTTCGGTACCAAAACTACTTTTTTATAAGAAATGTTTTATCCTATTCTGAAAAAAAAATCCTTACCTAACAGGAAACAAAAAAAGAACAATCTATAGAGGAGATTTTTTTTTTAATTTTTTTTTTCAACGTTTATTTATTTTTGGGACAGAGAGAGACAGAGCATGAACGGGGGAGGGGCAGAGAGAGAGGGAGACACAGAATCGGAAACAGGCTCCAGGCTCCGAGCCATCAGCCCAGAGCCTGACGCGGGGCTCCAACTCCCGGACCGCGAGATCGTGACCTGGCTGAAGTCGGACGCTTAACCGACGGCGCCACCCAGGCGCCCCTATAGAGGAGATTTTAAAATAAAAACAAGATTGTGAGGATTAACAATAATATAAACAAAGAATAAAATAAAGTAATTATGATTTCAAAAATGTATTTCCATACATAAGTGTTGGAGCATAGCTACATAGAAAAAGGAATGGTACTCAGATTTTTTAATCAACTTACAATATATTCATTTATTCAATTAAAATGTTTATTGATCATCTGCTGTAAGAGTCTGTTATACAGTAGCAAAACAACCCATGGGATTACAGCAGGGAGACAGAATGCATCCCAAATAAAATAAAGCACTTATAGTATATGGGTATATATGGAATGTTAGGGGAGGATTCAAGAAAGACCTGAAGGAGGCAAGAAGTCTAACCAAGTGGACCTCTATGTGGAAAAACATTACAAATAGAAGGAAAAAGTAGAAAGTTCTAGTTTAGGAGAGGAGAATCTGAAGTGTATTGCAAGGTGAAAGAAGAAGGACACTTTGGCTGGAAAGGAGTCAGTTTTAGGAAGTGACATGGGGGATTGGGGTGAAATATGAGGTCAGAGAAGTGACCAGTAGTCATGAAATCAAGTACAGAATTGTAGGTTTTTGTAAGGCATGGGTTTTAATCAAAGTGAGAGGAGACTTCATGTGAGTTTTTTGTTCAGATAAGTGACATAATCTGATTTATATTTAATAGGGTTACCTGGGTTGAGGAAGCAAGCAGAGGGAGGGAGGTGGAGAGCAGCCTGGAATCTATGGCCCTCCCTAGTCAGGCTGGGGCAGTGTGGAGTTCTAGATTCAGAACTTTTGTAGTGGGAGTACAGCTGACAATGTCATTCACTCCCTCTACACAGTAGTATGAATTATATTATAAATGGATCTACTTTAGTAGTGATTTTTTTCTACTTTAAGAGGGAAGAGAGAACTCTTCAGCCAAAGGCACTTCAAGTGTTTTATTTGTTCTTATATTGCTTTTACCTTTGAGCAGAATTAAATTGGAAGAAACTGCTGCTGTTTAAAAACATTCAAATATCATTGTATCGCACAACAGATGCATGTTTTCTGTAGCTTTAATTAAATCAATATTTTGTTTTCAGTTTTTTTAATTTATGTTAAGTTACTCTGAAAAAATTGATGTGAAAAATTAACTTCATCCCTACTCCATATAGGGATCATAATTCCTGAAAACTGTTATAATCACAAGAGAAAAAAGAAACAAAGCTTAATATGCCCCTTCCTTAAAATTTGTCTGAAAGACATTATTTACCATGATCTTTTCATAAATTGCTGACATGTTACTAGACAAGCAATATCTTCCAAAAGTAATCATTATTTTATAAAACAGCAGGAAAGTAGGTATTTTGTTTGCTACTAATCTTTATCAATTTCATATTTAAGGTAACAGGTAACATTCATAATGTTTTCAACTGACTTTTTTTTATTTGTTTTTTTGTTTGAAGCTTTTGGAAACATGTCCAAAACATTGATGAGATGTTGGAAACCAGTTGAAACACAGTAAAATTCAACTCAATAAAACAGGACTGCTTTCTCTTCATCCACGTTGGAAATTTTCAAGAAGTGAACTATGACAATATACCAATTTTTGCTACTATTTCTACTCTGGGTATGCCTGCCACATTTCTGTTCTCCAGAGATAATGTTCAGAAGGACTCCTGTACCCCAGCAAAGAATTTTAGGTGCACGTGTACCTAGGAGTGATGGCAAAATTCTGCATCGTCAAAAACGTGGGTGGATGTGGAATCAATTTTTCTTACTGGAGGAATACACAGGATCTGATTACCAATACGTGGGCAAGGTAAGTTTGCACTGAAATGGCAAATAGTTACATTCTTTCTTTACATGTCTTAGGAAAATTTGAAGGTTATCAAGATCATCATTCTTATAAATTTTATTCTCTAAATATCCATAAAGCAATTTTTGTTTATGGAATAGAAATTATAATTTGAAAAGCCACAGAATAAATAAATACAGCATGGTAAAGGTAGAAATTCACTTGATAGAATTAATTCTGTCCATTTCCTCATGGATTAAAGAAGTACTAAAATTACGCTTTTAGAATTTGTAGTGAGAAATCAATGATAGTGAGAAAACTATACGTCAATCTGGCTACTTGAAATGACTAGATAGATACATATGCAATGGTTCCCATCACTCTTGATTTTCACAGGGAAGAAAAGACATTTAAAAGTAGTTTAATATTCTATAGAATGAGAAAGCAAATGTCATTAAAAATATGACCTAAGGCCAAAAAAAATAGCTTTTTTATAAGAAAACTTATTTCAGATATGAGTGTTATTTACTTTTCTTAAGTCTCACTGTGGGCACATTTATATAAAGGAAAATACATAGAAGACAAGCAGGTAGAAGTGGTTTACTTACTGCGATATGTGGACAGAGATAAGTTTCTACTCTATTCACTTATAAAAGTGAGGAAAATTAGTTGTGGTTGGGAGTCGAATGAAAAGTAACAATGAATGCTTGTATGAACTATCTTCTATTCATTTTGAGTGTTCTTTTTTTGGCACTATCTGAATGTAGTAGAAGTTAGTGTCTTAAGAAAGGTTTTGTGTTAATAGGCGTGGTTATTATTTTTATGGACAGTATGAAAATATATCAAAGAAGAAAGGGAAACACTAGCAAGATAAAAGTAAATATAATCACATGTTAATACATCCTATGTTAACGCTATAAAGTTATGATAGATACATTACCGTGATGGAGAATTTTGCGTTAACTTAAACTTTAATAGCTTCATCCAAACAATTAAAATGTGCTAATAATTTTTAATCCTCTAAGAAAAAACTATTTTTAAAAGTTCTATAAAGTATTTTTTCATTGATTTTAAAACACTTTGATATGTTTTTTCATGTTCCAATTATTTCAGTCATCTTTAAATGTCTGGCAATATGGCATAGATGACATTAAAGGTTAAATGTTATATCAATTATAAGGAGAAGGAGAAGTGGCAGCAATCTGAGCAATATTACCAGAAAGCACACAGTAGCAGACTTATCACATGTTGCATCTGATTGGGTGTCCAAGATCAGTGGGTTAAGGTACATTTTATGGTTGTTGTGATAGGCAACTTTTAGTTAATGAAAGCAACCACATGAAAATATAATAACAGAAATCTACACCAAAGAAACTATACAGTAAATAATTTCCTTTGGTTCTTCCTAAACAAAGAGCTTATTTGGTTTATTTGCCTGCGCTTTCTTTTACCTAGTCCATTTTAATAAGGATTTGATAAGTGTTGGTAAATTAAGTTACCAGTGCATTGTATACTCTCTCATGATAGTCAAGTGACTTCTTATGCACTTTCATTTGTTCTCTCCCAGAAGAGTGTCAACACCTTGAGATCAAGTCCTGTACTTCACACCTCACTTTGTCTTTGGCTCTTTGAATAGAGCTTAATATTTCATTGATTGAATTGACCTGAGTTGCACTGGATTGAATTCCCAGAATCATCTGGTCCTGCTCGGTTCTTTGGGGGAGTTGGGGGGGACTAGTCTAGAATTTAAATCCCCATGGGTAATTAAAACTGGTAATACTTGTATATGCATCTTGATATACAAACCAAATTTTATTCTTATTTACTCTGCTTGAAAAAGGCAAGTCAGAAAACTCTTTGACAAGAACAAACATAAGGAATTTATGGGATGTGTCCACTAGTTCCTTTCTATATAATATGTGCTGAATTACTAGATCAACAGAAATTTATTAGATTCTGTAGCTATAAGCTTACTTCTAATGCCCAGAGTATCTATTTTTTGGTTTATATTTCAGGACCACTTTGTTGTTTGAATCATTTATTCATGTCATTACCTGTGAAATAGCTATTTAAACATTTTCCTTTTCTATAGTATAGTACTTGCATTAATTACTTATTATTTATATTGCATTAATTACTTATACAATTAAAAACCTTATTTAGATATAAACAGATTTGCAGATGTCAAAAAGGTAATGTGCAATATAGAATATTTTAATAAACATATACTACAATGGATATAAAACATTTTAAATTCTTAAATATTCTTTCTAAAAGTACTTACAGTAAATCTAATACATATTTATCCTTTCTTTCAGAAATTTCACTTCCAGTTTTTACTACCTTTAAAGTAGGAATGTAACATTGATGCTTAATGATGTATCTAGGTTGGTTTACATATATTAGTAATACATGTTCTAATTCCTTGACATATGGAAGACAATGATAGACACCCCATTGTAGTGGGAAATATTTGAGAAGCTCAGAATAAGAAAATGGAGAGAATTACACTGACAGGGTGAGGACAAGACTGAAAGCACCTGCGTGAAGAGGGAATCTTTTTTTTTTTTTTTTAATACCAAACAATTTGCCAACCAAATCCTATAAAGAATAGATTGGTATATAATTTCTCAGATAAAAGCCCATTACTGATTAAGGGAAACAGAGGGAAAAACCTATTGCTTCTCCTTGGGTAAAAGCTGAGGGAAGCTTAGGAAAATCATATAATTGTGGAGCCTCTGTAGCTCAGTTGGTTACGCAACAGGCTCTTGGTTTTGGCTCAGGTCATGATCTCATGGTTTGTGGGTTCCAGCCCTGTGTCCGGCTGTGCATTGACAGTGTGGAGCCTGCTTGAGATTCTCTACTCCCTCTCTCTCTGCCCCTCCTCACTCCCACACTCTGTCTCCCTCTCAAAAATAAATAAATAAATAAATAAATAAATAAATAAATGCACTTAAAAAAGAAGGAAAAGCATGTAATCAATGATCAGAAGACTTAGGATATAACCTTGTTTCTACTACTATTTTTCTCATAGTGGTTAAATCAACCTACTTCTCTTAGCCTTCATTCCTTCATGTATGAAAACAAACTATGATTATGTGAATGGTTTAATTTATATATTCATGTTATGTAATATATGTTAGTTTTATCCACATTAATTTTAATATATTCATCTTACTATATATTCATTTTTAATTTAATAATATTTTGCATTATAAAGTATATGAGAATTTTAAAATCCATTTAGAAAAAAAAGAAGAAATAAACAGAGAGAAAGAAAGAGAAAAAGAGACAGATCAGTCGCCAAATTGTCATTGCCACGACTGTTATTAAGAAACCAAGCCAAGAGGCACTCGGGTGGCTCAGTTGCTTGAGCGTCTGACTCTAGATTTCGGCTCAGGTCATGATCCCAGAGTCGTGGGATTCAGCCCTGCATCAGTCTCCATACTGAGTTTGCTTAATATTCTCTCTCTCTCTCTCTCTCTCTCTCTCTCTGTCTCTCTCTCCCCACCCCTTCCCACCCCCATCCTGGCTCTTTCTCTCTAAAATTAAACAAACAAACAAAAAACAACGAAGCCAGCCAATAATGAACTCACTCAAAGCATTTCTTTGTTCAGCTATTGATGATCAAAACACATTTTCCTCTAACCATTCAATCAAATACATCCTGAACCAAAATATAATTGTCATTAAGTTATTTTTTTCTTTTCAGTGAGATAATAACAAAATTTGCCTTTAAAAGTTTCCTTTATAGGATAACACCATGTCACCTCACTTTAACTTCCATAGCAAGGGGTTTATATTTGAACTTCAAGTAATCTACTTTTGTACTATGTTGCTTTCATTTTGCATCTTTCTATAGACATATTACATTTTTCCAATTTAAGATTTGAGAATCATTATAACTATAAACTATTTTTATTTAAGTATGACTTTTAATAATGGTTTCTTATTGCCTGATTCAGTCACCCTGGACAAATAATTTCAAATATCTAGGTTCCAAATATTCAAACGATATACATAATGACATTAAACTAGATACTCTTATCTATACTACACTGTCTATCAATTAACATGAATTTAAACTACAGAAAAAACCTAGATACTCTTGAATTTACTTTAAGCTGTAACAGATAAACAGTGGTCAAAGAAATACTAATTTTATTTACTACAAAAATTTTGTATTCATTTTATATAATAATTACTCTCAAGTGGGGAAGAGCATGTTAAAATTAGACTTTTAATCAAAACCAGATACTGAGCAAAACCCCTAACACGCCAAAAAAATTAATAACATATTTGGGTAATAATAACCTGATTTTGAGTGAGCATAGTAAGACAATTCACTCCAGGAAGTGAAAATATAATAATACTTTAAAAATAATTAGGGTAACTGTCTACATTTTTTGGTACAATAAAACCATCAGGTGGTGGCAGTAAAGAGGCTGCTACTGGGATCTAGTTGGCAGAATCCAAGTTTACTACTAAAACCCGCAATGCATAGAACAGATCTCCATAAAATTTTCTAGTTCCAAACATCAAGTGTGCTAAGATCAAGAAATACTGTCCTAGTTTGCCAGTTTTTTTACATTTTCCTAAATAGCTCAATCTTTATTTTAGTTCTTTTTGGGTTCTTGCTTCTGAACCTGCTCCCGTTTGTAATTTGATTTCTTCCTTCTAGAGTCGCCATTAGTATTCACTTTCTGAAACGGACTTCTCTTAAGATCTTCTCTCCTTCATGTCCTATCTAATCTTGAAGGCATGTATTTGGTTCCAGCCTCTTAATCATCCTTTTCTGTAGACTTATGGGCTCCACAAACCCCCTAAAAATGAAGTATGCATTCATTCTTTCAGTAAATATCTAGAAGACCCACTACTCAGGTATTAATTACTCCAATTAAGTATATAGTAGAGAAAATATAATTTCTCTGCTCACAAAGTATCTGCTTTTAAGAGAAGGAGAAAATAATAAGTAAAGCTAACAGGAAGTTATGGGACTCTTTTAATCTCTGATAGAGCACAGA